CCGGCGTGGCCACCAAGGGGGGCGCGCTCGCAGGCGCGCTTCCGGCGGGCGGCGGGGCTGGTGGCCGCGGCTCTAATTGCAGCAGGCGCCGGGCCTCGCTTGCCTGCATCTGGGATAGCTGCTCGGTCCACCTGTCGGCGCGCATGGAGCGCGCGCGTCTGTCCTCCTCGATCTCCGAGGTCTCCGCCAGGTAGGTCGCGTGGCGCGCGAGGCATCCCAGAACAGTGCTGGCCTCCTCGTCGAAGCCCCAAGCGATGCACTGTGGAGCATCGGCCTCGTCGGATTGCTGCCAGCGTGCTCCCGGCAGACGCTGAGCATGGCTTCTCCGTGGGCGGGGTCGTCGGCATCGGAGTCCGGATCTTGGCCGTCGTCCCGCTCCCGCGAGGGGCGGCGGTCCGCGCGCGGTGGTGTCTGCGACTGCGAACGACCGCTGCTGCTGGCCCGGCTGCCTTTCGAGGGCGCGCGTGGCGAGCCGCTGCGGTCTAGCCGCTTCCAGTGGGTGTCGAGGTCCTTCATGGTCGCGTCGAGCTCTCCCCTCTCCCCAGCCGGCATGTCTCCGGTAGCGGAGGCGGAGCCCGCGGGGTGCCAGTTAATGGTGGTGTTGCCGCGGGTACGGATGAGCTGCCATTGTCACGCCTTGAGGGAACGATGTTGCCCCCCAATCGGGCGCCCTTGCCGCGGCCGCAACTTCTCCCGCGCGAGCCGGGGCATGGCCGACCCGACCACTGCTATGCCCAGCTCGCGCGCCCCGGCGGGTGGGCGGTAAATGAGCTCCTCCAGGAAGCCCTGCGGCAGACGCCCCGCTTCGCTGAGGGTGGGGTGCGCCTGCGCCTCGTCCAGCCTCCAGGTGAAGTCGATGCTGGTCCCGTCGGGGCCGTGCAAGACCCCCGTCCAGAGCTCGTCGTCCTGCTCCGCCTTGGCGTCGTTGCGCTCGCGGAGGAAAATGATTCTTTGCGCCCCGCTGGTCCAGTTTACGCGGGCTCGGATGATCAAATGCCTCAGGTCGCCTGCTTCCAGGTCGTCGATGCCGAGGCCCTCCGGGCTTGACGCTGGCACGGGCGCCGTCGGCGACTCGAAGGGCGCAGACTGACGCCCGCTGGAAGGCGCGGGTGAGCCGCGCCTCGGAGGTGTGCTGTTGCTGGCGCCAGCTGGGGCTGCCGGGCTGGCCCCCCTGGGGCCCGCGCCGCCCAGGGCGACGCGGCGCCCGATGCTGGCGAACGCCCCGCCGGAGGGGCTAGCAGCCGCAGCTGGTCGCCTTGCGGCTCGTCCAGCTTCGCCGCCGAGATGGCGGAGCGGGGCGCCGGCCGACGATCCCACGGCCTGGTGGAAGCAGATGACGATCGAGCGCTTGTTCCCGATCCTCATGGCCTTGTACACTTGCTTGTGATGCTCGCAGAGGCAGACCGTCGCGTTCTTGCCATCAAAAGGGGGCGGCAGGTCAGAAGCCTGCCCGTCTTCCCCGAGCAAGGTCACGGGCGTCGGGTCAGCTGCATCGCGGCGGCCCTCCGGGGCCAGCGGACGCATCGCGCCCCTCGACCTCGACCTCAGACTCCGATTCCTGATCCAGGAGCTCTGCCATCTCCCATCTGCGCCTGGCTCCGTCGCGCCTGCCGACCCCCGGCGGCGGCGTCGTTGGCGGCCGCGGCGCCCGCGACAGCAAGCCAGGTGGGGGAGATACATCAAACTGGCGATGGACATGCGGGACCCGCTGGTGAGCATGCGCCCCGCCAGCGCGCAGAACTGGCACGTGGTGAACCGGGCGTGAGCACCGATGTCGACGATGGTAACCGAGTCCAGCGCTGCGTACTGCACGCGGAGGATCTCATTCTCGTCTTTCTGCTGGCAGTCCTCGCAAAGGCACAGGTGGACCCACGTGCCCTGTTCGAGCTTCTGCCGGAGGGTCCTGGCGCTCGCGCTCTTGACATTGTTGTGATGGATCCAGACCTTCTTCTCGATGCTCTCCGGGTTGTCGAGGGCGAGCCCGAGCCGGGCTACGTGCCATCCATGATGGTCCATGCGCGCAAGGAGGTCGTTGGGCTTGCGCCCTGTCCCCCGCGCCCTGATCTTCTTCTGGTAGAAGGATGTCGTAGTGCTGGGGCCAGTGGCGGGCCTTGTCCACGCGAGCGTGGTGGGCTGCGGGGGCGCCGGCGGCGGGGGGCGGTTCACCTCTGCTTCGCCTGGCGATCGCCGGGCGCAGCGGCAGCGCGCGCGGCAGACGCCGGCGGCTGCTCCAACGGCCCAGCAGGCCCGCGCGCAGGGCGCGAAGATGGTCCGCAGGCTGTGGGCCGTTAGGGCGATGAGGCCCACGTGGCCCAACGCGATGATGGTCCAGCCGACGACGGGCCAGGCGGCGCCGAACAGGCGCATGCCTTAGCTGTCGACTAGGTGCAGGATCCAGCCTCCTTCGGGTACAGCCAGCCGGAATCCTGTTGTTTGGGGAAGGCGCTTTTTGAGGGTCTTGTGGGAATCATTTTGCACAATACTAGTATCCCTCTCCCAATGCCTCCTCTCATAATTTGCACTTGCACTTAGAGCTTTCTAGTCATCGTATTCGCATTCAGTGCTTTTCGCTTCGTATTTCTGGCGAGTCCTGGGTGCGTTGGTGCATTTTTGGGCGAGCCAGAAACATTTGGGCATATGTGCCCAAATGGTTTTTATGATCATGTGTCTCACCGATTTTGCTGTAGTTGTCCGTCCTGGGCTAGAGGTCCTGGGCCCTTCTACAGCGTGTTTTCGGCCCGGGGCATTTTTTCGGATATAATTGCTGGAGGGTCCCGGAATGCATATTTTGAGAATTGTTTTCCTGGAACCTGAGACGCTCTGCCTGGCAACGGGCATCGTCTCCGGGGCGCCCTGGTGAGACTGGGCGCGGCAGCGTGGCCGCGCTCACCTCGGACCCTGTGCAGTTTGTACTGTTTCACTTTTGGCTCAAGTCCGACCGAGACGTCGGCATTGTGTCCCTCGCTAGCGCATGGGAAAACGAAGGGCCCGTGCCATCGACAGTGCCGCCGATCGTCACGGGAAGCGTGTGGCTGTCAGCGTGGTTTCGTGGTTGCGTGGTGTGTTGTGGAATCTGCCGCCGAATCCTCGATTCGTGAACCCTTATCCTGTTTCTCAGCTGGCTGTGGTAAGGCACTTAGAGTTGGTTGAAACAGAACATTCGCTCAAATCTGGTGGACGCACTGGGGGGGACTTGCCGTGCGACGTGGAGGAGCGCCAGGTCGCCCCTGCGAGTTCTCTCCAGAGGAATGAACCCGAACGGAGAATCGTGGATGCTGGCGGCGCGGCCGCCGCTGGTGCCGAGGGCAGTTTCTTCGACGATCCAGAGCACCAGTGGGGCCCTATTACCGAGCCGGGGGGCGAACGCAGGCCGTGCAGGATCGAGTTCTCGCCGAAGCTCATCGCCCCACTTTCGGCCAGCGCCTTTTAGCGCTGGGACAGCATGCGTCGAGCACTCGAGGGTCTTGCTCGAGGTCCAGACCATCGAGAGGCGCATCGTGGAGATTGGGCGTGAGCGCAGGGATTCCCTACCTAGGCTCTGCCTAGAAGGGTTCTTACTTTCTGGGCTTATAGGGGCCGGGCAGTGGAAAGCGCCCCGGGCGGTTCCCCCAGTATCCGCCCCGCGGTTTCCCCAGTTGCGCCCCCTTGGCTTGGCGTTGCCTATATCATCTTAGCTTTGCTTATTTCATATATTTATCGTAGCTTCATCTTAGCTCAGGTCTATCTTAGCTTAACTTACCTTCATATTAGCTTCGCTGAGCTTTAGCAGAGCAGAGCACAGCACAGCATAGCACTGCGTAGCATAGCATAGCGCAGCATCGCATATCATATCATAGCCCATCATAGCATAGCATAGCGCAGCATAACATGGCCTTGCCTAGCCTAGCCTAGCCCAGCATAGCATTGCGCTGCATAGCATAGCATCGCATAGCATTGCATTGCATAGCGTAGCACAGCATCCACTATGGCTGCTTCGATCATAGCATAGCATAGCATATCGCAACAGCATAGCATATCATAGCATAGCGCAGCGACATAGCATAGCGCAGCACAGCATCCCCAGTGCCCCGCCCTGATCTCCGTGCCTGCTTGATTTTGCTGCTGTCTCGGCGACTTGCTGCCTGCTTCTGCTGCTGCTTCACTTACGGCGTGGCGTCGGCGGTTCTGGCGCTACTACTACTACTACTACGTACTACTACTATTACTATTACTATTACTATTACTATTACTATTACTATTACTATTACTATTACTATTACTATTACTATTACTATTACTATTACTATTACTATTACTACTATTACTATTACTATTACTATTACTATTACTATTACTATTACTATTACTATTACTATTACTATTACTATTACTATTACTATTACTATTACTATTACTATTACTATTACTATTACTATTACTATTATTACTATTACTATTACTATTACTATTACTATTACTATTACTATTACTATTACTATTACTATTACTATTACTATTATTACTATTACTATTACTATTACTATTACTATTACTATTACTATTACTATTACTATTACTATTACTATTACTATTACTATTACTATTACTATTACTTTTACTATCACTATTACTATTATTATTACTACCACTACTACGACTACTGCTACTACTACGACTACTACTACTATTACTGCTACTACTACTACTACTACTGTTTCGACTACGACTACGACTACTACTACTACTACTACTACTACTACTACTACTACTGCTACTACTACTACTACTACTACTACTACTACCGCTACTGCTACAACTACGACGATGAGGAGAAGGAGGAGAACGGCGTTTACTGCTCCTTCTCATGTTGCTTTCCTAGAGGCTCCAACTCCTAGGTAGGGTCGCACTGGGATAATGACCCTGCGCTGGAGAATCAGATCTCCGCCTATGTTGGCAGCTTGGCCCAGCAGGAGGTTTGGAGTGAGCTTGCAACTGTGGGTCTTCGATTGCGCGTCTCCGAGGCCGAAGGCGAGGCTTGCCGCGAGAGCGTCGACGAAGACTTCGCTCGCGCCCGACAGTTCTTGCACGCCGAGCAGCAGGAGTACCAGCAACGCATCGCCGATGCTCGGCATGAGGCGACTGTCCTCATCCAGGCAGGGCTCAACGAGTACGTGGTCGAGCGCGATGCCGCACTAGCCACAGTCGGCGAGATCCGCGTTGCTGAGTCGGTCATATCAGCAGCTGAGGCTTCTCTCGAAGTTAAGGCTGGTGAAGCTGAGGAAGCACTTCGAGGCGAGGCCGCTGAGTTGCTTGGTGCCCGCGATCGGCTGCAGGATGAGTGGCAGCAGGCCGACGCAGAGGTCCGGCGTCAGCGAGGCCACAACGCCGAGGACCACGCCCAGCTTCGCGAGGAGGCCCAGCAGCTCGATCTGAAGTTGCAGGAAGAGTCCGAGATTGCTGAGTTGGCTCGCCGCCGATAGGCGATTCGGACCCAAGCGCATGACGGTGGTCTTCTTGGAGAGCTTCGTGAGGCTGCTGTCCGATGCGAGGCGGCCGAGGCCGATGCGGCCAGGCAAGTTGCAGCAGCCCAGGCCGATGCAGACGCCAGAGTGGCCGCTGCTCAGCATGCGGAGGTCGAGTGCCAGCGCGCCGCTGATTCGGCCAGGGTCAACTTCTTCGCCAGCCAGGCGCTCCATCACACCGGGCGGGGTCGCTACTTGGAGGAGATCGCCGAGGCGCAGACGGAGGCCGGGGAGTTGCGGGCGGAGAAGGCCGCGCTAGCGGAGGCTTCCCAGGAGCTGGTCCAGATGCAGTCCGCCGAGTTTCAGGGCGACGTGCAGCTTGACGCGGAGGACGAGGACGAGGACTTCGACTTCGCGAGCCACGGGCCTGCGTGTAATCAGCCGCCGCCAGGCCTTCCAGCACGTCCGGCTGCTTCGTCGAGTTCGCCGCCGCCAGACGCAGGCGTCGCTGGGGCGATGCTGGCGTTCATGGAGCAGATGGCGGAGCAGCAGCGGGCAGGCGCCGAGGAGCAGCGTGCGCTGCTGGCTGGGCTTGCGCGCGCTCAGGAGAACTTGGCGGATGCCCAGCGGGGGTCGGCATGGAAGCTGAAGCCGGCGAAACCAGTCCTGACAGCGTCCGACGCCGCGACCTTGAAGGTTCAGCTCGAGAAGTCAAAGATCTACCAGAACGAGTCGCGCCAGGCGAGCAATGCTATCTGGATTGAGGGCGCGCGGGCGATTGCAGAGGGCGCGGCGAAGATCGAGATGGAGGACTCGATCGTGACCGATTTGGGCGGCGAGGACGCGTGCCGGGCACTGCTGGAGGGGCGCTCCAACCCCAGGTGGGAGGCGATCTGGATCAAGCACGTCAGGCGCTCGAAGGTCGCGGTGCACTTGGACGACGAGCACAAGGCGAACGAGGCGGTGCGGAAGTACTCCAGGCTCTCAATCGCCAAGGACGCCAGCATCGACGCGGTCGCCAAGTTCTTGAACGAGTACACCGCCGTCCGCACCGACATGATCAAGCACGGGCTGTTCACTGACGACTCTGAGAGTCGACTGTTGATGAGGGAGATCGAGGAGTTCAAGACGAAGATCGAGGGCTCCGCGCTGATCACCTACCTCTTGGACCTTCCGACGTTCCCGAAGAGAATGGCCATTAGGGGCGACGAGGACTCTGGAATGGCGATTCTTGGCCGCTGCCGGCAGTTCGCGCGCGCCCGGGCGCGAGTGGGTCTTGGGGCTACTGATGCCAAACCAGGTCAGATATTGACGTCGACCCTTGCCGTGGCAGACCCAAAGGATGGGGAGGCGAAGGCTGCAGCAAAGAAGGGGGCCAAGAAGCTAGAGCAGGAGAAGTTCGCCAGGGCCGAGCAGATCATCGAGTCAATTTCTGCCGCGGGCTCTTCGGCAGGCGCGCCGCCGCCGCCGACGCCGACGGCCCAGCAGCTGGGCGCTCGCTGGCGGGCCGCGCGGGGGCCCGCCAAAGGGGCGCCCAAGGGCGACAAATGCTTGCGAGCAGGCGCTGGCGACTGCAGCCGGTGCAAGGGGACTCGCCCTGAGTGCTCCATCTGCCCGAACCAGAAGGCCGGCGAGGAGCAGGGCTTCGACGTCTCGAAGTGCGTCAAGGACAGCATCCCGTGCTTGTACAAGCACCAGGGCAAGGGGAAGCCTTGCGGCGGCCTCGGACACTTCGGCCGCCACCACGCGCTCTGCCACGCAGAGAAGGGCGCGAAGGAGGCCGAGGAGTTTCTCAAGAAGAAGACGGATGAGAAAGGCGCTGGCAAGGGCCGCGGGGGCAGGGGCAATCCGAAGGGAGGCCGCGGCGACTGCCATGCCCGCATGCTCAACTTCGACGGCAGCCACGTCACCGACCAACAGGAGCGCACAGACCGCGCTGCCAAGCTGCTCGCGTCCCTCATGGTGATGGGCGCCGATGGCGAGACTTCGGGCGAGGCAAAGCCTGGGGGATCGCGGATCAACCTGGACGAGTGCCACGTGTTCGCCTCCGACTTGTGGAAGCCGCCGCCGTCGCGCGGCTGGCTCGTGCGCACGCTGAGCCAGGTGCGGCATTGCCTCTTCAAGTTCACCATGTTTCTGATAGGCTTCCTTGCGCTGTCAGCCGTTGTGGGCATCGTCGCTTTCGGGCTCGAAGCCCGTGTGCATAATGCAAATTCTCCATTGATGGCCACCGCTGTCAATCACGATTTCTTACGCAAGGTTTGCGCGCTGAACCAGTTATCGCGGTGCGTTTTGAATGTCTCTGGCAGTTGCAACTGCAGAGGCTTTGCTTGGATCGGACCCGCTCGCACCGAGACTGTCTGCGCCACTGGTGCGACTCGGTTTTCCATCGACCGCGGCTTCTTGGAGGCGCTACTCAGGGAGCCGAAGACGGCCGACTTCGTCGTCAGGGGCGCGGGGCAGATCCAGCCGATCATCTGCAAGTCGTTCGGAAAGGGCCAGACGGTGACTGTCGACCGGCTGGCGACGTTGGAGGTCAGTTACCGCGAGGGTGGCGTGGCGAAGACCGTGGCGATTTTGATTGGGTTCCTTGTTGTGAAGGACTGCGCGGAGGACCTGCTGATTGGGAAGCCTGCCTTAGACCGGTGCGGCTTTGTCTCGGACAAGGACCAGATCGAGCTTCGTTCGCTCGGAGTTCGCTTTCCGACGGTCCTCCCAGGCGAGAACGACGACCCCGCTATTCACACCTTCCTGCGCGTCTCGGACGACATGGTTTTGGAGACGCCCCTTGGCCAGAGCATCGTCAAGACTGTCGCGATGCGTGCGCCTCCAGAGGCAAGGTCAAGCAGCCTTTGGATTGAGCTAGGCCCTGATCTCCCTGATGGCATCCAGGTGATCGAGGGCCCCATGGTGGTCAAGAGCGGCATGTTCAATGTGGATCTGATTGCACATGAGCGCGTTCATCTAGGTCTTGGGCTTCGCCTACTTCGTGCTCGCGAGGCAACGCAGCACGACGTCGAGGTACTGACGGCACTAGGCAAGGAAGGGTCCAGGCGCGCTGCCGAGATCTACCAGATGCACCAGGCTCGGCACCAGGCTTACCAGGACTACGGAGGGCAACCTACCAGCTCAGGTCGGACAGACCCTGGATCTGGTTCCACGGTGGCTGAGTTCTTCAAGACGTCCTACAAAACGCGCCGGAAGAAGGCCCGCCACGAGGAGCTTTTCCCTGACCTCGTGAAAGAGATCGAGGAGGACAGGAAGATGCGCACGGCAGAGGTGCAGCGGCCTGACCAGGAGTCGCCAGCGTACAAGGATGAGGCCGAGAAGCAGGCAGCGCCGCTCCTGGCCCCCCAGCTCACGCGGAAGCAGCGCCAGCGGTTCCTGACGAAGGTCGTGCGGGTCTTCGCTGGTTGCTTGTGGTTGCCTGGCTGCAACCCGCCGCGCGTCAAGGACTTCGTGGCCGACATCAAGCTTCGTGCTGGTGTTACTCCCACGGTGACGCAGCCGTTCCCCTTGAGCAAGTTCGACGACCTGCGTCTTCACTACCGCGAGGACGTTGAAGTGGAAGAGGGCAAAGCTCGCTGACTTCTTCGTGGCGAGCGGTCGGAGTGGGGCTCGCCATCGTTCGTAGTCGACCAGGACATCAAAGGCTTGCTGGGCAGACCAGTGAGAGACTACCGCTACCCGAGCAGCTGCACCGAGGAGGAGGCGTGGCCGAGTTCTCGAGCTTACGAATGCTTGCAGCGTGCCCAGAACGGTGCTTTGCACACGCAGCTCGATTGCATCTGGGGCTTCGCCCAGATAGAGCTTGCTCCAGAGTCTCAGCGGGTCTTCGCGCTGGTCACGCAGCGCGGGATGCTGCGCCCGCTCGTGCTCTTCTTCGGCGCGAAGCAGGGCCCCGCGATCTCCCAGAAGCTCATGGACTGGACGTTCGGCGATGTGCTCGGGCCCAGCGACTAGGAGTTCCATTCGGTGTTCATGGATGACTGCACGTTGTCTACCGAGGCCTACGACACTGACGCCGACGACGACGTGGTAGACAGGCATATCGAGCATTGCGTCCGCTTCCTCTCGGCCGCCCGCGAGAAGAACATCCAGTTCAAGGTGGCGAAGAGCAAGTTCGCGCACGCGTTCATTCACCTCTTGGGCTTCAAGCTCGGTCGAGGCCTTCGCTACGTGGACCCAGGCAAGGCAGATAATATCGAGAAGGGGCCGAACCCCAAGAGCATCGACGACCTTGTCAGCTTCCGCGCGTACTGCAACTTCGTGCGCGAGTTCATCCCGAATGTTTCGTCCATCGAGGTTTCGCTGAAGCGCTACATGAAGAAGGGCGCGAAGTTCGTGGACTACGAGAAGGACCAGGGCGCCCGGCAGGCTTTGGAGAAGCTCAAGCGCTCGCTGGCCCGCGAGGTTGGACTCGCAACTTTGCACTACGCGGCCGCGGCTGGCCCTCAGTCTGGCCGTCCGATCGAGCTGTGCGTGGGCGCCTCCGACATTGCGTGGGCGGCTACGCTGGCTCAGAGGCGCGAGAAGGATGAGCCTTTGTGTCCAGTTGCCGCTGTCGGCCGGGGCTTCAGCGCTACTCAGCAGGGCTGGAGCACCTTCGAGCGCGAGTTGTGCGGTCTACGTGAGGCGCTTTCGGCTGCGCACCACCTGACCAAGGGCTTTGTCGTGATCGTCTACACCGACCACCGCGACAATATCTCCACCGACTCGCTGTTCGCCAACAAGCGCATCTCCAAGAAGTTGCTGCGCTGGGCCTTGGACTTAGGTGACCTAGGCTCGCGAGTTGTACGTGTTCTGCTACGTGGTGAAGATATCATGCTGGGCGACGCTCCCAGTCGCAATCCCGAGGACCGGGATATTCTCCATGCTCTTCGAGTGCCGGGTGGACCCGTTCGTCGCGTCATCGAGCAGATGTTCACCGCTCCGTCTACGGCTGAGGAACAGGCCCAGATGGATCGCTTCCTTGAGGAGATTGACGGCAAGGACTGCCAGAAGGAGACCAGGAAGCGCGCCGAGGACCAGGCGCCAGCGAGGACCGCCACCACCAAGAAGCGCGTCGAGGACCAGACGCAGGCGAGGACCGCCGCTGTGACGAGCACCGAGGACCAGGTGTAGGCGAGGAGCGCCACCAATAGCGTCGAGGACCAGACGCAGGCCCCAAAGGCCACCGGCACTGACCGGATGGCGGCTCCTTTACTTCCCCTTCTCCGACAAGATCGAAGAAGGACCGCCGGCTGTGCGAGGTGTTCAGTAGAGTGGAGTCTGCGAAGGAGGCGGGCGCGATGCTATCGCGCATCTGGGAAGCAGCAGGAGGCTACGCCGAGAGGTTCGACAGCAGGATCGACGAGCGGATGGACTTTCTCAGCCCAGCTGCGCGCGAGTGGAAGCACAAGCACTACGATGGCCCCTACGATGTGCACCACTTCGCGATCCCGTGCGCCGACTTCAGCATCGCGAAGACGTCGCCCGAAAAGGTCACGTCTTTGGACAATTCATATGGCGACGAGACGAACGAGGAGGTGGTCTACCACAACAAGTTGGCTCGTGCAGTCTGCTACCTCGCGATGGTGCTCATGACGAAGGGCGCTGTGGTTACCTTCGAGAACCCTTTGATGTCGTGTCTGTTCTTCCTGCTCGAGTGCTCTTGCAAGATGGGATTCGGTGGCTTCGAGGTCTTTCGCAGCGACCGCTGCCAGGACGGGGCGCCCCACCAGAAGCCGCAGGTCTTTGCCAGGAACGCGCCCGCGCTGAAGGACATCGGGCGGCTGTGCAACCACGTCGAGCACCAGGTGATGCTGACAGGCGCGATGGCGAGGAGATCTGCCCCGCACCCTCGCGCACTTTGCGACCGAATCGTGGTCGGCTACGTCAAGACGCTGAGCGCGACTGGCCGACTGGGCGTGGACTGCTCC